AACTTGCAATGGGTAGTTTTAAACTTAAATCTCTACTTCCTCGTCCCCACTTTCAGGGAGTGTCTTGCGTGAACACGCCAACTCTCGCAGCCGGAGATTCAGACTATGCTTACGGTCACGCTTTAGTCTCTCTTTCGAACAAAGACCGCGATCGCATCGGCACCATAGGTGACGTAGGTTAGCGAAAGCCATCTGGGGTTTGTAGATAATTCATCCATCTGTTCTCCTGAGCTGAGACATTTCTCAAGCTAAACAAAGTGATCAACAATTTCTCACTGGTCACTCATGAGTATAACTGTAGGCGTCTCCTCCCAATCCACAGGAAACGCCCGACGATAACGCGATTTTACAACAGGGATGCCAGATCAAACCCTGCGAACTACCGTCCGGTCAGCCTGATTTGCAGCTGTAAAGTGATCGAGAGCTTGATAGAGACCAGACTCCGATGATATCTGATGCCAATAGTTGTTGTGTATACAACATGGTTTCGCCCACAGAGGTCTTTCGAACCTCGCCCTAGTCCGAGAAGAATAGCGCACGGACTAGGTAAACGGACTCGCTATGGACGTTATCTTCGTCGACTTCAGCAAACCACACGATAGGCTTTTAGTAAAGCTATGAAAAACATTAGTTTCAACCCCCCGTGCTCCGCTGGGTTCATGGCTTACCGATTGAGAGATCATTCACGGCCAGGTTCCGGAACTCGTCCATTTAGCGGTTATCGCTAAGCGCTGGACCCCAGGGCTCCGTCCTTAGTCTTTTGCTTTTCTTGGTCTGAATAAAGGATCTGAGCAAGAATCAATCTTTGTCTTGTCTACGCCGACTATCTAAAGATATAGAGGACGCTTTGTTCTACAAGTGATCTGGAGAGACCGCGTATTCAAAGGAGCAGACAATTGGACGCTCCCAATAAATCCTGCCAAATGCGTTCTGGTGCTTGAGAACAAGCATGGTGCCAATGCAAAACAATAATAATGAACTTGTGATGGGGTACAGAAAGCTTCAATGAAAATGGGGAAAATAGAGAACACGGAGAACGAATGAATGAATGAATCATGAAGTTCTCTGAGGCTCGGCTCGGCCAGGAGAGCTCCACAGCAAGATAGCCTAAGAGCGTCGGCGGCCGTTTTTTGCTCTTCAGGTCTATACACAACATCGAAGCTGTAGGGGAACAGTTCCATTTTCTAGCATGGGATTTTATCATTCTTGACTCCGACGGTACTGGTTTCCAAAAAGAAAGGAGACAGACCGCTGATCGGTGATGAGTTTGAAATGATTGCTGAGTGATTCCATTTTCGGACGGCTTCGACTACGGCGCACAATTCTTTCTCAACTACTGAATGATGTATCTCCCCTTGAGTTAATGTCATAGAAAAGAACGCGACAGGGCGTCCCTCCTGATTCAACGTAGCTGCGATTGCCACGTCCGAGGTATCAGTTTCGACGACAAAGGGGATATTGAAGCGATCGGTCGCCAGGCTCGCCGTTGCAAGTTCGTGCTTGAGACTTTCGAAGCTTTGTTTTTACATAAGAACTTATCGGAAAGATTTGGTTGTACCAGTGAATGGAATTTGTCGGAAAAGTTCGAAATCCAAGGCAAGTAATAAGAAAAGAAACTCACGGTCCTTTGTTGTGATTTCAAATTTGTAGGTGAGGACATTTCTTGCAAAGGCTTCAACCGATCAGGATCCGGTTTTTTATATTTTTTATTACTCACTTCCGTATGATGAACAGAGGACGGGGTAAACCCCATAGTCACGAGGACCTGCTGTTCAGTGATGGAAGCCGGTAATCTAAGCCCCGGGACTTGGAGTGGTAAACCACATAAGGTCCCGATAGGTTGGGTGTGGTATTGAACCGGACGACAGCAGAGCTGCCTACCACCAAAGTCGGGTGGCAGTGGCGGGGCTCGAACCTTTGACCATGGGGTCTAAAGCACGCCGGTGACAGCGACTAAACCACTGCGCCACCACCACCCTGCAGGCCTGCAGGAAGAACTTATTAAGGTCCTCCATCATGATCAGCTACCGCTTGCATGCTCATCTACCAATAAGGCTAATAGTAATAACGTGAAAGACAATGCATCATTATGCGGCTATAATGGACAACGACTAGCCATTAAGCACGACACAATCCAGAGCGAACCCAAATAAAAACCATTTGCGTTCAATGCAAATGCGTCACAGATAAACGGTAGTAGTGATCGGCGAAACAATGCCAAGGTCGAAGGTACTATGGATAAGCAAAGAGTAGGGCAGCGAACAGACAGACAAGGTGGTGGCTAGTGACGAAGTGGGGATAAACAAACGGTTGGATGTGATCAACCGGTACGGGGTAGAACCCCCCCCCCCAGTCAGGAAGACTTGCTGTTCAGTGATAGTCATCGGCAACTAAGCCCCGGCACTGGGAGTAGAGAACCACATAAGGCTCCTCTAGTTCAGGCGTGGTACAGAACCGAGCTGTACAATGATGATGATGAGCTGATTCACTGATTTACGCATTCCAATAATTTCTTTCCTTACTTTCTTTCAGCCTAATCCTGAGTGCCATTACCAGAGTACAATGTCTTCAGAATTAGCAGACGAAAGTCTGTTCCCTATCGCAATTTTAATAGATGAACTTCGGAACGATGAAATGCAAACCCGATTGGCGAGTGTTAAAAAGTTGACTACTATTGCGCTTGCTCTCGGGCCCGAACGAACCCGAAACGAGTTAATTCCGTTTCTGGCAGAGATCATTTATGATGAAGATGAAGTTCTCCGCGAAATGGCCCAACAGTTGGCGGAATTTGTACCATTGGTTGGTGGATCAGAGTATGTGCACTGTTTGCTACCTCCTCTCGAGGGTTTGGCCTCTGTGGAAGAAACTGTCGTTCGAGAAAAGGCAATAGAAACTTTGCGGTCCCTCGCACCAAGCTTTTCTCCTAAAGTGAGTTTATCAGTGCCGTCTTGTACTCGAAAATAAAATAACGAAACTGCCCTACCAGAGTTTACATTTCAAATTACATTTTTATTCAGTACCAGAAATGCAACATTATACATGGTCGAAACATCAGTAGCAAAATTTCTACCTTTAGCATGAAAAAAATCACTTAGCTGCATTTTGAGACTATCGTACGACTAATAATTTATGAATTTCAGTCGGTGGTTATCTGCTATCGTATTGACTCATTTTGTCGAAGTCATTCGGTTTTGCTAAATAACGGACCGGTATCTGATGGCGCATAGCAGACACAGTATTCAAAATTCCTGTTCAAATTCGGTGAAAAATGTCACACATCCGAGCTGGTCTTCATATCGGACTCAGCTGTTTGCACCCATTATGCCGAAAAGCTAAGGCACCAGCTGAAGTCCCTAAAAATTGAAGTAGTCAAACAGCGGGATCAGACTAAAAGCCTAATTCATTTGTCACAAAAGTTGCATGTGTACTTAATCATGAATCCCGTCCAAGACCCTGGTTCTCTCAAGAATAAGTAGTCCCGATAAAACGAAGTGACAAGACCCAACAGGCCAGAATCAAGACAGGATTGGAAGGTGTCTGCGACGTCAATTCACGAAGAACCCTATGAAAAACCTCGAAAATTGGTGTACTAAAGTAGCTAGTAAAATGGAACTGGCCACCACTTCAAAGAACAATCGAAGGCTGTTCCAGCTGATACGCGTAATCGGCGGATACCGCTTAATGATAAGGTAAACAGGCCGTTCACAACAGGGGGGCGACTTCATCGATAAACAGAGTATTTCAGAGGCATTTCAGTTAGCTAGGTTACTTTGCAGCTGAAATTCCTTGAGTGGTGTCATGTGAACTCGCAACAGAACTAGAAGTAACGACTTGCATTCAACGGTTGAAGAGGGGAAGGACGGTAGCAAC